TCCATCCATCCATCCATCCATCCATCCATCCATCCATCCATCCATCCATCCATCCATCCATCCATCCATCCATCCATCCATCCATCCATCCATCCATCCATCCATCCATCCATCCATCCATCCATCTATCCAACCACCGACCAACCCATATAAACGGTAAGTTGATGATCTTTATATGTAATTCTATCGATTTCATAATCTTTTTTACAAGAAACATATTTCAGCGATTTAAGAAACGTAACCTTATTCCTGATTTTAAGAGTGAAAATAATTTAATATTTACAACATGAATCAATGCTTGGGTTCGTCCAGAAAAGAAGCAGGTGAACATATATCGAGGGCCACAATGCAGGATCTCCTAAGCCGCAAAATTTACATTTTTCAGATGAAAAAAATGTATTACGTCTAGAACAATCCATTTAACTCTATAATGGGACTAATATTTACCCATGTCATTCAAAAATTGTAATACTTCCCCTATACATTAGATATAGCGAAATGTTTTAAATTAGATTATCATAAAATATAATGTTCGTGGAAATATGCTTTGAATTTGTCAATTAAATTATATCCACTTCAAAAACCAGGGTTTGAGTAGACTGGGTTAAAATTCTTCAAATCGAAGACAAATAAATATTTTCCTGAAAAAAAAAAAATTATGAAATCAATAGAGGAACATATAAACTTTATTACCCATATCCATATGCTCTAATATATTAAATAATTAAATTGCTTTCATTTTCAAAATTGTGCTTTAATAATTTCAATGACCTCTGTGTTATTCTTATGGACATTAATTACAGTTGACATTCTGGTTCATCTGTTGGCATCCAGTGCTATGACCTTCCTCAACCTGTGACGCGCACTAAACACGCGTATATAAACCAAACATTTTTAAATCAGATTAATAGAACGTCATTATAATGACGTAAGAACCTTAACCACACTTGACTTGGTCACATTTCTAGTAACTGATTTAAAATCGACTTATATATTTATATTTTATATGCCGTGACCTTATTTATATTATAGAAACTTATTTTGCAAAGGACTGTGACTATGGAATGTGACGTTACATCCCCACTTTTTCTGCACCCCTTTTTTATTCAGACTATAATTTTGGAATTTATTTGGGGAATTCCAAGGAATATAATATCCTAGTTTTCGGATCTCTAACTGATAGGTTTCCAGAACTATAAAACCGATTGTTTACTTGTCCTGCGTTGTTACATATAACGAAAACATAATACACATACATAATACTGCATACATTAGTATATTTTCCCAGACGAAGGTGATTAGTAGTTTTTTTAAAAAAATTAAAATGTTCTGTCAACGAGAAGTTTTCATCAAAAATTGTTTTCACTTTGGGTGTCCAAAAATAATTTGCATTACTTCGTAGGGGTAATTTTGGGATTTATTTTGTTAGATTTAATAGTTTGTCATATTAATTATTTAAGTTTTGAGAATTCTTTTTTATTGTGTAGAATTGCCTTTTATTTTATTTTTTTAGAATTTTGTTTTTATCATTTTATTTAAATACTTATTTTATTTTCAAAGCTAATAAATTTCTACACCACAGTTATTTAAAGAATTATATTCTTAGTTCTACAATCAGGGAAATCTACATTCCACCGCAGCTCATACATTACAGTTCATCAAATTTCTAGAGGCTTTCGACGGCTAGACAGAGAAAGCACTACTGACAGGCATCCCGACGGATTTACGCAATGAAAGTACACTCTGCGCATCAAGTATTTCACTATTTCATTCAGACGTAAATGTCAGATGTAAATTTCGCTAAAACATTTCTTTTATTTTCGTTTGTGTTTTTTGCTCATTACAGTTTAATAGAACCTAAGTATGGAGTTTAATAGCAAATTAAGAGGCCGCGTGATTAACAGTCAATCTCGCGAAATAATAGCCAATGTTATAGAGTTTATGAGAAGAGAAGGAAACTTTAATTCACCTTCAATACCACTTAAAAATGTGAATGATCGTGTTGCTGCAGCCACAGGAGTATCTAAAAGCACTGTCGTCCGCATTTCTGGAGAGAAAAAAAGAATCGATAATCGTGAGATATCGGAATTTTCATCACCAAGAAAAACCATTAAAAAACCAAAAACAGTTAATGATATAGATGAAGCTGCACAAGAATCAAATTTTATATTTTTATTATTAGATAGCTATTTTTGTTTCTGAGTTGTGTTCATTTACAGGCTCAATTTTTTTTCCGTTTCTCCTTTTTGATTTTATATGGGGTTTCAAGTTGTTTTTGACTTATTTCGACGTAAATCACAACAACACACTTTTTTAAAAAAGCAAACAAGTGTTAAGAGGTATATGTACGTGTAAACTACAATTACAAAAAATTGATATGAAACCCATGAAACCACCAACAAAAATGTAAAGCTAGCTTCCGTACTAGAACATGGTGTCATTCGTCGAGAAAATTTATCGTTTTGTTTAATAGATCAAGAAATATAAATATTCCCCTGTTATTTTTTATAAAATTATAAGAGAAATAAATTTTTTTCTAAATAGTATAGTTTATTATTTTGTAGAAAAACAAAATTTCGAAAATTTTAGTAATGTTTCAGAAACAACCATTATTAATAATAGGTACCATTTTCCTTAATAAGGTAGAAATAAAATATAAACTATTTCCACGATTTACAAAGGCCTACAAAAAAATTATAGGTATTTTCCGCTATCCTATAAAATTTATATTTTCTGACTCAATTTCAAAAGGTTGAAGGAATTCCAAAACACCTTTTATGGCATAATAATTATTTTCAATTCTACATACTATCTTTAGCTGCTTTTAAAAACGTTCTAAGAAAGTCCAATCAGACCAATTTAATCCCTAAACTATTCCACACTTTTAAAATTTAATTACCTAAAAATATTAAAAACTATTTAAAATAACTTGTTTAGCAGACTGTACAATAGCTATCTTAGTCACACGTAGCGTGTTCTCTGTCTGGGCATCGAACACCTCTAGAAATTTGATGAACTGTACTACAATTTAGCTACTTGATGATTGATAAAAGTAAACAATATCGAATGCAGGAGAGGTGGTAGGTAGACGTTATGTTCAGGATATTCAAGATATTGCCAGTCTTCCTAGACGTTAAGTTAAGAGCACCATCCAAAAATCCAGAATTACTACCTATGTGGGTAATAATCAGTCGACGGCCCTTACCAGAAGGTGATTTCAAACTTGTGGAATACACGTCAAGAAATGCTTGACGGGAACTTGTTATATTTAAGTACTGCCATACTTTTAAACGCGTGTGTCCCTCATTTAACCATGTCTCGTCAGTATATATTTTTGTCCCTCAAGCCTATGGTCACGTATATCTCGTCTTTTTCGATTAGAAAGCTTTTGCGGTTTTGCTTTAAATACCGGAAGTTCGAGCGTAATGTTCGCTTTAAAACTTCAAAGGATATTTTGGGTAAAGAATTAGCAGCTTTGATTTTATTTAGGGTTGACATTTCGTTAAAAAAAACATGCACTTTCGCGAATTACATTTTTTATGTGATCATCTAGAATAACTTTCTTTCTACCTCTTTCTCGACATCGTAAATGCTGTTCTATGGTTTTAATGGATCGTTCAGTGTTGCAACCTCCACGCGGCCGTCAAAAAATATCAGTACAAAATTTTGTCCGTCGACCGCGAACCTCGAGGCCTCCTAAGCTCCGTTACATGGGCGCAGTACATTTGACAACGGTGCGCGTTCTGTGTAAACATTAAAGATAACAGGAGATGTAACTACTGACAAATATCGTGCGGTCCTGAATAAGACATATTCTAAGGGACACAGGCGGGTATAATATCCGCTGTTGTCATATGCGTATTTCATTATTCTCGTTTTGTTTACAAAATTATTTACATATATTATGAAAGCTAAAATAATTCGACCTATTTCATTGCAACTCAACCCAAAAAATTTTGAATCATTAGTTATATCAAATTTAACTAAATTAGATGTAATTTCACTAAATTAAATGAATAGTTTTCAATAAATTCCAAAACCTACTAATCGTTGGAGGTGACAACAGGGCTTACACCGGTTACGTTGTTTATTATAAGCGCACATCGCTTACATCCTGGCTTATACATTCATTCATTGATTAAATAAAGTTGTATCTGCGTAAAATCTTTCTCTTTATCCCCTTCTCTTACTTCTCACCTTTCGTATTTTCACCGCGGACCTATAAATTGAGTGTTATGATTGTCGACTTAATCTTGGCATCGTGAATATTATATTTTATCAATGAATGGGGCTATATCTCTGTTAAACATGCTGTGTCACCATTTAGAACAAGCCACACTTCGAGAGCATTCAATAATTTTTTCTTGTAGAATATTACATATCTCTTGTTGTATTGTTTTTGAACTAGGGACTGACGTCACTGACTATTATTTCCGATTTCGAGTATATGATGATGCACTACTTTTTTTGATTCGAAACAAATCTGTACAGGGTTGTACAGGGTGAGTCAAAACTAAAATACATAATTTTCTACTAACATATGTCACTTTTGTTTTTTAAATGAAACATATAGTATTTTAAAAAATCATAAAATCTTAAGTGTGATATATTGTTAAAATGGGATCGAAGAGTGTTGGATTTAAAAAACTAAAGTGACAAATATTACCGGAAAACGGTTAATCTGGCAACTACGCGTAAAATAGGAAATTTGTACATATCCGAGAGTAAGAAAATTTGGAGATTTCAGACTTTTCCCCATACTGTGTGTGTAAAAAATTCAAATGAAAATAGAAAAAGTTCCAATAAAAATTAAAAAAAAAATGGAGACAAAGTTTTCATTGGCATTTGCCAATTTAGGACCAGAAAGATATTTTTCTTTTTGAAATTAAGATTTTGATGGGGGTAGTGAAAATAATTAAAAAAAAAAGATTAAGTAATGAAATATTGTAAACTATTCGAAAACAGAAAGTCATAAACTTCATTACAAAATACACACTTACCTAACTGTACACCCACTACTGCTGAAGTAACATCTTCTTTACCGTACCTTCCTGAATCGATAGAAAACAGTTTACTCGTGGAATGTATTGCGACGAGAATGTCGTAGGCATTGGAAGTTAAATTTTCTTTCTGTTTCAACTGTTGGAAAAGGCTTTCCGGAATAGTGACTGAAGCATCAGCCGTTCTACCTTGATAACTTGAAGCGTCTTGTTGATGGGAGGGAGCACAAGAAAATAAAGAATCTTTTTTATTGGTTGGGTTGGTGTAAAGGGTACATGTCAGACCACGGAAAGTATCTTTTTCCACAGGGAATACTTCTATTGCCAGATTATTCTAAAAAAAAAAATAGTAAGTAATATTTTTAACTGAAACAAATGCTTTTACTTTTGTCATAATTTTTGGTATTTTTAGCATTGTCAATCTATTTTAAAATTAGGGTGTGTCCATGCCGAAGATGCCTCGATGAGTGATGATCGATGAGTGATGATCGATGCCTGATAGGCGATGTAATAACAAATGTACTAATTTAAATGAGAGTGTACTTATCAAAGATTAGCGCACCCTCGCACCATACATTTGTATTATTTTGATTGACATCCACTTAACCATCGCCTATCGGTTATCGATCATCGAGGCATCTTCGGCATGTACACACCCTTAGTATGTTAAAATACACACAAACAAATGTTAGTCATTCAGATCATATAAAGGCGCGTATTAATACAGCGATTGAACGCGAACGAATGCAGCCGAACAAATTCGTTTGGTTGATGTGGACGTCACGACAAACAAGAGCGAACGCGTTTATTCGTCTCCGCTAGGGTTCGCCAACAGGCGGTACATCAAAGGAAATTTGGGAAGAATTCGTTTGACCTGTGCTACAGTGAGTACGGTTTGGCAGCAGCATACAGGGTGTCCTATTAATGCGTAATTGTTCAATATTTCAATTTGTGTTATAGACATACAAACAAGTTTTAAAAGTTATATAGATTTGAAAAATACATGTTTTAAAAATATCTTTGCATACACAGGGTGTTAAGTTTTTGCCTGGCAAATAAAAAAGAACATTTTTAAATAGAACACCCTGTATTTTATTTCATTTTTAGAATATTCAATCTTAGATTTTTGTACATTACAGGTTTGCCAAGCAATTAATTTTTTATGAAGTTAGAGAATGATGCCCTTAAATTAAATTATCATAATTTAGATTGATTTTAATTAATTTCAAAAAATTTTAATATACAGAATTATAGCTAACGAATAATGTTGATAGAACTGGTTTATTTTATATAGTGTTTTGAAACATGTCTTAAATATGGCTAATTTTTGGTAATTCACTTAATTTTTTCAAATGCAAAACTCCTGCATATTATTTTAGCATACAATTCCTTATAAATTTGCCTATCCAAAGATACTAACATGTTAGCCAATAACACCCATCAGTGCCGTAATTGATCAATAGCTGTTTTATTATTGGAAATACGAAGAAATTTTTAATATAGGTTATACCACCAATTAATGAATACCGGGTATTCCATTTAAAAAATTGAGAAAATCGCAACCTCGCATTTTGACAAATACAACATAGCAAATGAATGAAGTCTATTATAATTGTTTAACGATGTGAAAACAATCAAATATGCACCTGCAGGGTGTTTTCCTTCAACAATGTATAGGATTGGTCCGCCCCTCGTTTATGAACCACCCTGTATATTTAAGAATAATTGTTAAATAAGGTCATACAACTTTTTTATACATATATATATTTTTTCAATAATAAAACAGCTATCGATCAATTATGCACTGATGGAACACCCTGTATGTGTTATTGGCTAACATATTGGTATAGTTGGATAGGCAAATTTATAAAGAATTTTATGCTAAAATAATATACAGGGTATTGCATTTGAAAAAATTAAGTAAAATAAACTTAAAATTAGCCATATTTAAGACATGTTTCAAGACACTGTATAAAATAAACCAGTTCTATCATCATTATTCGTTAGCTTACTATCTTATAAGTCTGTATTTTAAACATTTTTTTTAAATCATTGTAAACCGACCTAAATTATGATAATTTAATTGCTTGATAACCTTTTAATATTTAAAAAATCTAGGGTTGAATACAGTATTACCAAACCATTCTATAACTGAAACTAATTTAAAAGATATACATTTTTATTTGCCAGGCAAAACGAAACACCCTGTATATCAAAAAATATTTTTAAAATACTTATTTTTTAAATCCATATAACTTTTATTTGAAATTGTTTTCATGTCTATAACACAAATTGAAATATTACGCACTAATGGGACATCCTGTATATTAGCAGAAATTCATTTAACATTAATTTGTTAGTGCGTTATTATTAAACTAAATAATTTAAATAAGTGATGGAGTGGGGTAATTCTACGTCCCTACTGCTCATCGAGGTAGTGGGTTGGCTCAGTGCTTAGAGCCATGACTTTGAGATCGAAAGGTCTCAGGATTGAATGCCACCGGTGGCAGGAATTATTATTTAATTAAAAAAAAATAAATATGTATTAATTCTAATGCATAGGTAGGATTCCCTACTCAACCATTCACTGTTGGGTTCAAATTAACAGTGCTGTTCCTGAAGTGGCGCTGGGAAACTGTAACAAAGCCTAAACAGAACACACATGATCAAGAATTCAAAACACAAAATTGAGACTGGCATATTAGGTAAATACACCTAGGCCATAAATCGAAACAAAAAAAAACTGCTCATCGATGAGAGCAAGCATTTAGGACCAATTTAATTTAATAACCATTCAAAAAGGGGACGGGTTGGCTCAGTGGTAACAGTTATGACTTTGAGATCGAAAGGTCTCAGGATCGAATCCCACTGGTGGCAAGAATTTTTATTTAATTAAAAAAATATACATTAATTCTAATGCATAGGTAGGATTCCCCACTCGGCCATTTACTGTTGGGTTCTAATTAACAGTGCTGTTTAACGGGGTGGGTGGCTCAGTGGTAGAGTCTCTGCCTGTGGAACCAAGGGTCCCGGGTTCGAATCCCACCGTTGGCCGGGATTTTTTCATTTATTTATTTAAAATTAATTCTGATGCCTTTGTTGGATTCCCCACTCGACCATTCACTGTTGGGTTCTAATTAACAGTACTGTTCCTAAAGTGGCCTGTCGTAAAGTCGCCTGACGCCTCATCATCTAAATTTTAAAGCTGGTCCGCCGCGAAAAAAATGCGACTGCAAGACGTACTCGACAGCGCGTGTCCCACTACGTTTCCATGGAGACGCGGGCTTCATCTTTTTGCGGCCGCCTAGCCCAGTCAAAGAGCTCATAAATTGTTATTGTAGGAAGGATTTGGAGAGGACATAATAAATAACACTGATAGCATGTGTCGAGACGATAGGAAAAATTATAAAAAAAACAAATAAATAATATTTTTAATTAGTATTTTATTCTCTGGTATCTCTCGTATTTTGAAGGAGGGGCGCGCGGCCATGCAGCCCTGTCTACATACCTCAGCCAATGCTTTGGTTGTTTTTCAGCAGTGCAAATGGCCGTCTCTTCAAATATTTCCATGTAAAAATTGGCCACAATTGGGCCAAGTGTCGGAAAAGATTGATGAGCTCTGGAAAAAACTCCCTTATGTAGCTGACTACTTCTTTGAGTGGCACATTTGTAAATAAGGAGATGATGTCAAAGCTGACTAGGATGTCGTTAGGCTTTAAGCTAATACTCTTTAAGTGCGTAGAGTATCGCACGTAGATTTTTGTCTTGTACTAGTGTGTTTGCAGTATTTCCGCCAGATGTTTGTCCAGGATGTAAGTTGGTGATTATATGATACTTGATATTGGTCTTGGTGGTACATTATAGTCTTGGTGGTAGAGCTTCAATAGTGCAGGTTTTCTTCTTTGTCTTCGGTGGTAGTGATGACTCTTTTATTAATTTTTTAGTTTTTCTTAAAATTTTTCGACAATTTCCTGTTGCAGCTGAAACGTTTGGTAGTAATACTCAAGAAAGACCAAGACATAACAGCCCGGAAACAAACAATTACTTTGACGCCGGCCGTGAAAGCTTACATTATTTTTGGTTCATAAACATATTTGATTAGATTTTTTTGACATAACCCTGATAGCGCAGGTCGTAGCTTTCAATTTTTCCAACTTTGCTTTTCGCGACCATCTCGTGGAGCTGATTCAATCACCGATGAAGTATTTTTTTATTTTTGAAACATATGAAAATTCAAAAAATACCACTATTGTTTGTTTATTTATTTTAAATATATTATTTATCATAATATAACCCCTACCGCTAATCTTTGCTCAATTTATTTTGTACTATTTTAACTAATATTCAGAAAAATATTGTGTAGATAAGTGGGTAATCATTAATAATAATAAAAAGAAGTTTTTGTTCACGGTTGATCATTTTATTTGTTTAAAAAATATTGAACTAATGAGAAACATTGTATTCTAATATTTTTTTGTACATAATGTTATTTTACAAATTTCTATAACGTCAGCCACTAATAGTGACAACGTAATTAGAGCCAAATAAATTCCATGCTAAAATAAGAAGGTTTAGATGACGATGATATTAAATATTTAATTTAAAAAAAAAAACTTCGAACTGATACGAAGGTTGGCGAGCGCACCCGAAAACTATAAAGTCGCCATTAAGGATAGGCACAATTTTTATTAAAGTCAGAATTTAAGTGATCTGCGCATGCTCAGATGTCAAAATAAGAGCGGCACTACTAGTGACTGACCTTAAGTGAACTTGCAATAACTCTCTATTTATCATTAATGTAAAAATATAATTCCAGTATAAAAAACTAAAAATAGTGGTTAGATTAAAAAAATAAAAATAGTGGTTGACAGACTTCCGAATTTTTTCATTCGTTGTTAGAAATATTTATTTTTCCAAGATACATAGAAACTGTCAATGTAACACATACAAAAAAATAATGAATATGAATAATGTAAATATACCATAAAAATATAAACGGCGGGGCAACATATATGACTTGATCTTTGAAAATTACTGAGGCCTTCAGTATTGCATTTTTGAAGATGAAAAAATTTCGTTACCCCCTTTTTAAGACTTTTTTTCTCGTTTCCGATTATTCCGAAAACGCAAAAAAACTTTTCGTCTGGTTGTCTGTACGTATGTGTGCCGGCACGATAACTCTAGAAAAAAGATCTGATTGACTTGCGGTTTTGATTTTCTTGAATAATTGCTTCTAATTTAGAACCCTATTGATTTTCAGAATGTTCGGTTCAAGCTAACTTACAAGCGTTATTAAACCGAAAAAGTGAAGGTATTTACCCAAAAAAGGCTAGT